GGGGCAAATCAGCAGAATCGTCGATCGTGGTGGAGTTGCCTACAATACACGCGGACGCGCCATTGACAACACTGCCCAGAGTTGTATATCCAATGTATACTTTATTCTGTGGGGATTACAAACTCAAAAACAATTCAAAATTAATCTATAAAACGGCTTACCGCAGTTTAACCTCCCACACTTCATGACGCTTAAGCCTAGAACTCAGATCGATGAAAACCGCAAGCTAACCATAGGAGTGAGCAAGAGGCATTCGTTGAACATTCCATTTATTTTTATTTAAATTTCTTGGTACCAGCAGACTCCTCCTTTTTAAATTTCTCCAATTGATTTGTTTTTCGTTTGGCAACAAACCTAGCTGCTTGACAGTAAGACCATGCTATATGCATGCCCGATTACTCCATAGGGGCACAACACCAAACTATCAGAAAATACTAGACATTATTATACAACGCTTCCATCCAAGCCGGGGGTATACGGCGCGCAGGCTGCTCCCTTGAGCAGATAAGAGATAAGAGGGGCTTCCTGGTCCGCACTCACTGGCAGGTGGTCCTACACATTGTGACGCAGCACCCTCACGCACTGCACCATTCGCTCCTAGACTCCACCCTCTGACGGATTCGATGGACAATTAAAGATACATTCAATGCCCTTACATGACAGCTCTGTCTGGTTCCTTTCGGGCTCGAGCACCTCCGCAAATCTCTTCTCCTCCCTGTCCGCTCCAAAAAAGTTTTTTCCGTTGTCACTGCGCAGTCTATGTATTGGCCCTCGACGGCAGATGAAATTCCTGATCACAATAATACAAGAATCCGTGGACAGGACATGCGCCAGTTCCAGATGAAGCGCCCTGGTCGTCTGACACGAAAACAAGGCCACACATGGCTTCTCCTGGAGCCTGGCTACGGTGACTAGCAGTGGTCCAAAATAATCCAGACCGGCACTCTTAAACGGCCAACCATTGGCCTCCAGACGATCCTCTGGCAGAGGTCCCATAATGGGCGGCATCGGCCACGCTCTCTGCAGCTTACACTGGCTGCATCCAGAAATCACCTGGCGAAATCCGTAGTCTCGTGATCCAGAACCTAGTCCGGATATCCGTGATCTTAGCATCCACTTTTAGATGCTTCATCCTTACGTGGGCATCGCGCACGATCATCTCCGTGAGACTGCCGGTGCGAAAGGATCACTGGCCTCTTTACTCTGTAAGGTATACACAACGCCGCATCAATCCTGCCGTACGCTCGCAGGTCTCTATTGCCATCTAGGTATGGTGCCAGTCCACATATGTCGCTTCCTGTAGTGACTTCCATTCCGTTCTCTGCGGCCCGCATCGCATCCGGGAACGCCTCACATTGAGCTCTGGGGACCAACAAATTTTCAGCTGCTTCACTCTTAGCCACAGTGAGGCCATAGCTCTCAAGCTCATCTCGTTGTCCACGCCATACACCTTAGGACCCAGGCCGTAGTCCTCACCAATCGCCTGTAGCTTGAGAGCCTCTGCAACGATATAAACGTATCACTTGTTTCGACGTGCACAACTTACTCGGCATCTCTCCTTCATCCTCTACATCCGCTTTGTCGCCGGGTGCAGACCCTGGTCAGCTGCCTTCTGGTCTCCTCAGAAATGCCGGCCCTTTTAACCAGCGTGACTCTCCACTTAGGTTCACGCGGCATTGCGACGGAGTCGCATCATCCGCCACGTTGTCGGAGGACGGTAGACATCTCCATTGGGCCACCTTCGTTAACTCCAGAATTTCAGCTACTCTGTTCCCTACGAACTTTTTGTAGCGCCTTGTCTTCTCACGAGCCTCGACCTCTCTGTAAATGTGACTCCGAGGAACCGTTGGCAGTCCCAAATGACATGTTGTCCAGGTCCACGGCCTTCACACATTGGACAACTGCTGAGGCAAATTTCCTGTTCCTCAACGAGAACGCGGTCGATGCTAGCATGAAGCAATCGATGCCTTGGCTCCTTTACATCAATGTCTGTTACCACACAGACCACATTTGCTAAATCCCTCAGCCACGAACTGAAGTCAACAATGGTCGGATAGGGCTGAATAGCTGCGGCATGCCATACCCAATCCAATCGTTTGCTTATCGGGAGCTTGGCCACAAGCTCATACATGAGGGTAGGGTTAACCAAATGCTGCTCTGCCTTCGTTGACTGCAGGAGGGCCTTTAGGTTACTCACATGCGTGGCGAATGCGACGAGCTTTCCCAAAGTGTGCTCCCTTTTGCAGGCAACTGTCTGATGCTGTTGAGCTGGCTGCGTATAAGTTGGTCCGGTCGGCCGTATCTGAAACGCAGCTGCTCCATTACTGCATTTGCATTGCTTGGGGTGAATTAACAGCGACTTCACCGTTTTACGCGCGTCATCTTTCAACTCCTTTAGTAACCTCTGGTTGTTCTCTAGATCCGTACAACCATACACTTGCGTCGTCTCCGTAACGCGAGCGAGCTCCAAATTCTTCTCCAGCTCGGCGATCCTCTCCAAGAGGTCGGCCACCCTTGGTTTCCTGGTGGCCCCAGTACTTGCCGAATGGACGGATGACGCCGGGGCTTCAATGCCTTGGCCGCCATCTTGCTGCGTCCCTGCCCTCGGCTGCGGGACCAACACGCTGCCATCCTATTGCGGCGTCACTATCTCCTGTCCATCGCTCAGACGAGGATTCCTGAGCGAACGCTGCATCATCTCGTCCAGGCACTAATCCAGCAACACCTGTTGCGTTCAGTAAACTTTGCGCTGTCTGCGCCACAAATGTTATCCTGTCGCTAGGGTGCGATTCCACTCCGCCGGGTAATCTCTTAGAACCGCTCCAAGCGGTATCCAACGCCTACGGCGTGTTCCGGCAACGCTGTCAAAATGGCTGCCAAATGCGAAGCTACCAACGCCAGTCGCCAATACAGTCCACCAGTCTGCCAATCCAGTCACTTCGGTCGGTATCCTACGCTCAAGCGTGTTCCTGCAACTCTCTAACTAATGGCCGACAAATGCCAAAGCTATTAGCGCAAGTCGCAAAAGTCGCCAGTCCACCTGACTGCGATTAAAAGCTTCTGTCGTCGATCGTGTGCGCCATTGACAACACTGCCCAGAGTTGTGTATCCAACGTATATTTTATTCTGTGGGGGTTAAAAACTCAATAACAAGTCAAACTTAATTTAAAAATCAGCTCACCTCAGTTTAAAGCTCATCACGAGTGCCATTTAACAACATAATGTTAGTGTGCCCCGTTACTACATAGTGGCACAATACCAAACTATCAGCAAATACTAGACTAAATTATCGGTATTGCATTGGACCCGCGACAGTAGAAGTGCTGGATGAGATCCAATAGAAAATCCCAGAGGGAAGGAACTTGCCGAGTTGAACATCGCTCCCTACATCGACCTCCTGCCGGACACATCCTCGCAGAAAAAGTAGGGTCTGGCCAAAAGAATTTGGTGAGCTATCGGGATTCGGAGCTGGACTGCAGGTGTCGCGGAAAAGATGCAGAGGCAGCCGTACGACGAGAAAAAAGCTTTTAACTACTAACTTACATACATAAATAAAACAAGGAAGAACGCTATAGTCGAGTACCTCGACTATCAGATACCCGTTACTCAAAGGGAAATGGAGATATGCAAGCAGCAAAGCGAGATTAAAATGCGCCACCTACCGGCGGTAGACAGATTTAAGCGTTATGGGCGTTAGAGTGGGCGTGGAAAATTTATTTTTGGATCAATCGATAGGTATGAACGACACCAATACATTTCAGTTAAAATTTCTTATTCAGCATGCAAATTGTGGGCGTCACAGGTTTTCGCGGTTTGTGGGCGTTTAAGTGGGCGTGGCAAACTTTTTTTTAGGTCAATCGATAGTTATTGTTGAGAACAATACATTTCAGTTAAAATTTTCTATCTAGCATTAAAACTGTAGGAGTTACAGTTTTGGGCGGTTTGTGGGCGTTAGAGTGGGCGTGGCAGTCTACTGAAACAAACTTGCGCTGCGTAAGAAGCTCAGGAATCTGTACGCTAAATCTCAATAGCCTAGCTCTCATAGTTTCCGAGATCTCAGCGTTCATCCGGACAGACAGACGGACAGACGGACAGACGGTCAGACGGACAGACGGACAGACGGACAGACGGACATGGCTAGATCGACTCGGCTAGTGATCCTGATCAAGAATATATATACTTTATGGGGTCGGAAACGCTTCCTTCTGCCTGTTACATACTTTCCGACGAATCTAGTATACCCTTTTACTCTACGAGTAACGGGTATAAACATTCGTTGAACATTCCATTTATGTTTATTTTGATTTCTTTGTGCTTCAGCAGTTTTACTTTTAAAAATTGCTCCAATTGATTTGTTTTCCGTTTGTCAACAAACCCAGCTGCTTAATATATATCAATACCTATATATCTACATTCCAATAATCATACCGATCACAATATTATTTAAAAAGTTGTGAATTACAAAGTCAATAAGTGAAAATGGGGTTGCATGGGTAATAATACCGCTACCTGCCGCTAGGTGCCGCGCGAAAAATTCGCTGCATTATTATTTTACAATTGGTAAACGGACTCAACACTGTTTCATATTATACCCGTTGCTCGTAGAGTAAAAGGTTGTAATATATTAGATTCGTCGGAAAATACGTATAAAGTATATATATAAAGTATTCTTGATTAGAATCACTTGCCGCTGTCTGCGCGTTCGTATGCAGGCTTATTTCACCAGAGTGCCACGCCCACTCTAACGCCCATAACGCTAAAACCTGTCAGGCGCACACATTTTCTAACATTTTGAAGTGTAAATAAATTATTGTTGTTGAATATCGAAGCCCTCGACTATAGCGTTATCTCTTGTTGAATTGGGACTATAAATTAGCCTGACAGAGGAGCTGTCGGGTCCGAGGGGTCAGGACTCCGAGCGACGGTTGGCTCCTGATGTGGCTAATAAAAGCGAAAGTTAGCTAACTTCGGAAAGCTCCAACGCAAAGCTCTCTCTCTTT